CTGAGCTCTTAACTACATTTGCAGGGCCAAATAAAGACTCCAAGTATAAAGAATGCTCTGGGAGGTCCCGTCCAGAGAGAATTTGTGAGGTGCAATTGAGTTCTTTATAAGAGACCTTTTTTTTCTTTCCTTAAAAAATAGGAGACTTTTGAGAACATTCCTAGTTCAGTAAAAATAGAGAAGAGTTGAGGCAAAGTGGACCTCATGAAGGACATTATAGGGAGCACAAAGCAGCATGGCTCTTACTCCTTCCTCTCCCCGTGGGCCAGTCTCCTGGAATGTCAGAGCTTACCTTATCTGTGTTGGAAACCTAACTAAAAAAAGAGAGAGAGAAAGATTCTTAAGAACAGAGGAAAAATAGAAAAAACCCCCCCAAAAAAATCCTAGTTCCTTACTCACCCCATTGCCTTTGAGTCTGAAATGACTCATAGCTGACCCTCCAGTGGATTTTCAGAGGCTGTTAAGTCACCCAAGAGGACATTGATACAAATAGTTATACCCCTGCATGGTGATAGAACCCACAGAAGTCTTGACTTGAGTATTTAGTTGCCCAGCCATGGGTCAGGCCCCAAAACACCAACTTTGACTTCCATTTCTGCTCCACCGAAGAATCTCTGGGATATGCCTCCTGCAGGCCTGTGGGAAATGGGGCCTAAACTTTAGTGAGGGTCATGGTTGTGGCCCTCCTTTTTAAGTCTAGGGTGTGTTCCCAGTGGCCCTCTGACCTGGTGAAGGGGCCCTGAACTTTGAGCGGTCTTTTAATAGGTAGCGAGAGGGTCATTCTTACTGCTCAGCCCCCCAACACCTCTGGATCCAGGCACTATAGGATAATGAAGATGCTAGTGCCCCCAGACCAGCAGCCAGTCCCACAGGGAGGCTTGAGGGTCAAGCCCAGGCCCTGGGGAAGAGGAGTTCCCCCAACCCTGGTTTTCTTTCTTCTTTCTCCTTATTTATTCACCTCCAGGCTGATCATAGGAGACGAGAACAGTCTTCGAGGACTGTTGGTTGGTTGACTCTGGCCTGATTGTTTGTGTAAATAAAAATGGATGGAGCACAGGCATGCCTATCTGTTTGCATATTATCTGTGGCCATTTTCCCATGATGGGGGTAGGGTTGAGTATTAGAACAGAGACAGTATGTCCCATGAATCTCAAAATATTTACTATCCAGTCTTTTACAGCAAGAGTTCACTAAACTCTGCTGTGGGAGGTTGGTGGGGCCACTTTATCCTTTTATAGACATTCTTGCCCCCCAGATATGTACAGAGTGATGCAGGGCAATAGAGCATTTGGAGGCCTTGCCAGGTTGAAGTGTCATACAGCTGTGTAGCATCTCCATTCATTTCCCCAGAGGATGAACTTCAGAGGGGCCTGGAGTACTTTAGGTGACCCAGGTTAGATCTGGGTAATGCCCCTCAACTCCTCACCCACAGCATACCTAAAACTGCCCTAGTGTCCATTCCTGAAATATACTCTCTTACTTTCTGCTTACTATCAGTTCATTCATAGAAAACCATGACTTATCCCTAATGTGACATTCGGTCAATCCTGAGGTTCTGTTGACACAGAAGAATAACTTCTGAAGCCGCAAACTGCTAATCTCACTCCTTGTCTCACTCCAGTGTCCCTTTCTGAATAATACATGCAGAGCTGAGACAGATACACACCTGCCTGATCTAATTTAGAGTTTTGTGTGTCTCCCAGAGATGCTTCTCTCAGAGACAAAAGCATTCTTCATCAGAGCCTCCGTTCCCTCTGGGGATGGGACATTGTTTTCCTAGCAGCTTGGAACTAGTGTGTTACCCAGATGGCTTTGCCTCCGGTCTGGAGCAAGGTGCACATGCATTTCAGAGGCAGTCATTAACTACAACCTTGTTTTCATTGCTGTCTTGTTTTGTCTAGACCAAGTTGATTGCTGTAAGGGATCTGACTGATAGTGCTGGAGAACACACTCTGTAAACTTGCCTTCCAAGAGAGCTGGAGGGCTGAGGACCCTCCAATTATTCCCTAAGGATTGATTGCCAAGCATTGCTTCACTTTCCCCCTCCTAGCTTTCTCAAACTTAAACTTTTGTTGAGTTGAATGAACAATGAATTTTTCAGGTGTTTTCCTGAGAGGAAAGCTAACTATCCCCGACAGAGGTGGGTCAGACCAAGCCGTCAGACTGGATGCCTGCTGTGGATTTCAGCCCCAGGCCAGCCTCCTGAGACAGACCCTAAGAAGCCTTGGGAACAGAACTGGAATAAAACTTGTTGCTTGCTTCCCTGGAGTAGGAAGCTGGCAATTCTCCCCAGAGCCATCCCTTGCAGAACACAGAGACAATTCAGATGATGAGGTGATGGCAATACCGTCTTCCATCTGTTTGGAACCCTGTTCCTCAGTCCTGGCTCTCCAGGAAAATCTACTGAGGAACTTTTAGAAAAAAGTTCCATTATTGGTACTCCACCCCAGACCAATTATTTCAGACCTCTAATGATGAGGCTCGGCCTCGGTGTTTTTCAAAAGCTCCTCAGAATAGTCTAATGTGCAGCCAAGGTTGAGAACCACTGGTGTAGTGCTTCCTAGTCTGTGATTACCTCTCTTTGTAGCTACTTATTTAATCCTCCTGATGGTATGGTGTGTTTAGTGTGAGTATCCCTCTTTATAGACTGGGAAACTGAGTCCTTGGTGATTTGCCAAAGGCAAAGCACAGAGCACTTGAAGTAGGCCTCATAGCCAGGGCTCCTGTCAACAAGTGCCATGCTGTGCTCCTCCTCCTCCCCTTCCCCTTCAGCAGCCCAAGAGAAAAATAGCTTCTGGAACTGGTGCTTTTGCATGTACTCATCCATGCCTACGTGTTCTCACATACCCTGCCTCCTCACAACCCAGCCCCGCTGTCATTTTTTTCTTTTTTTGACTTTTCCCCCATGGATGCTTCCTTATCCACTATACCTTATAACTTTTCCTCCTATTCTCTCTCTTCTCTTCTCTTCTCTTCTCTTCTCTTCTCTTCTCTTCTCTTCTCTTCTCTTCTTCCCTCCCCTCCCCTCCCCTCCTCTCCTCTCCTCTTCTCTTCTTCCCCCCTTTCTCTCTCTTCTCTTCTCTTTCTCTGTCTCGTGCGCGGGCACGCTAGTGCATGTGTGTGCACACAGGCGTACACTTCCTTATTTTCATTAAGTTCCTGATAAAACTCAATTGCCCTTGCTTTCAAAGGTTCAAGGTTAGAGTCCATTGTACTGGTTAGTATTCATCACAGAATTTCAAAGTTCTTTGCTCTAGGCTCTTTTCCTTATGGAATCCCAGAACCCATTGTATAGGGAGCATTTCTCAAGGAATCACAGAATCTCTTGCACTTGGCACTTCACCTCATGGAATCCCAGAGTCCATTGCACTGGGCCCTTCTCCTCATGGAATCCCAGAATCCATTGCAATGGGCACTTCTCATGGAATCCCAGAATTCATTGTGCTGGGTAGCTCTGTTCACTGAAAGCAGTTGGCCTAGGGCTCTGGGTGGCAGATAGCAGGGGGAGTGAGAGCTTCAGTTTTCTTACACAGTAGGAATCCAGAGATCCCCAAGGATAAAAATGGTGCCTATGGCAGCTGCTATTGCTGTTGATTCTTTTAGTCATGGTTGGTCCAGAGTAGAGTTGGAACATGATATAATTTAGTCCCTGGGAGGTCTTTGAAAATGATCATGGGATTTTATTTAGGGCCAAAGAAACCCATACTGTCTTCTGGCATGAGAGAAGGTCTGCAGGGACCTATGGCAGAACTGATCTGAACTATTTGGGTCTGAGTTTGTGGGAAGAAGAAAGTGGTGTTAAAGCAGCTCATTGTTGGAAGAGCTGGGTTGGAATCCTAAGCAATGTTAGCAGTGTGGCCTTGCATAGTTAATCCTAAGCCTACATTTCTACTTCCAAAATGGAAATCATAGTTTTTACCTCAGACAGAGAATTACAGAGACAAATGATATAAAACACTACACATGATGACTGTCATATATTATCATTGTCATTTAATCTAGATTAGGGAATTAAGTGTGTGAAGAACTTGTTTTTGTAGACTCAAGAATTATCTGAGAAAGAGGGTTCACCAGGATTCCATTCAGAGGGTCTTCTCCCTAAAAACTGGAAATGGGGAACCCTTCTCTTCTCCCTCCACTCAGTTTTCAGTAGCTTCCCTGAAGAAAAGTTAAGCTCCACCACTGCGGAGTGCAGCCTCATTTTCATTTTTGTACTCTGTCATCTCATTGTAAATAGGATGCCTCCCTGTGGCATGTCCCAGGGAGCTCAGCAGCGTGGTCTGGGCATAAACAGAGAGACCAAGAGAAAGATCTGAGGTAGCGACAGCAGAGTCACACACAGACATGGCTGTGAAGGCAGACAGATAGGAGATGGGTAGAGATAGGCTGTGTCTGCCCCAGGCAGGATGGGACTGGGAAGGAGAAGGAGGACGGACAAAGGCAGCAAGAGGAAGTCTGGCCACAGGCGCCACCACTTCTTAGTCTCATGGGTTGGATGAAGGACCTGGTGTCACCCTCATGAGGTCACAGCCCCATCCTGAAACTCTGGAAAGTGACAGTTGCTGGCATAAAACCTTCATGGTGACTTTTTTTTTTTTTTTGCTGTGAAGCTGCCTCAAGGTATCCTGAGCTGACACCCTGGGGGTGGCAGCAGGGGCAGTGATTGGCAGTGACTCGGGCTTTGTGGGGGGGTCCAGGTAGGAGACCTGCCTGTGGCACAGCGGGGCGTAGCTAGCCTGGAGGATTGAGGTGAGAACTCCCTAAGTGTCAGCTCCTACAAGCCGCACCTATCTTCAGAGTTGTTGGGAATGTGAAGTTACCCTCCGTCTTGAGCATGCAGTGCTTGTCCAGGACTTATTCCGGAAACTACCTTGTGTCCTGACCTTACTCTCCAAGCACTGGCCCTGCTCACTCTACTGCCTTTCTTTCACGTTTTGGACCCACTTGTCCGGTTCTGCTCGGTGTTTATTGACCCAACCCTGTCTGTCTTCTTATTTCAGAAATTCCGGGTAGATATGCCTGGTTCGGGCAGTGCCTTCATCCCCACCATCAACGCCATCACGACCAGCCAGGACCTGCAGTGGATGGTGCAGCCCACAGTGATCACCTCCATGTCCAATCCGTACTCCCGCTCGCACCCCTACGGCCCCCTGCAGGGCCTGGCCTCCGTGCCTGGGCACATGGCCCTCCCGAGACCTGGTGTGATCAAGACCATCGGCACCACTGTGGGCCGCAGGAGGAGAGATGAGCAGGTACACATCAGACCAATGACCAGGAGCTGCACTGGGGGGCTCCGGGGACCTCGTAGCTGCAGAGTGTTTTCCTGCACACTGATGGGAGCAGGCTTTTGTTCTGGGACTGGGAGATGGAGGCTAGGGGATCAGGGACCCATGGTCTTTAGGGCCGGAAGCCTGAGGTTCAAGTGTGGTTTTGCCATCTTGTCCATGGTTCTTAGAATCTCTGAGACTCAGTTCCTATCCTCAGAAAGTGGCAATAAAAGTACCTTCCAGACAGACTTGTTGCTGTTCAAATGAACTCATGGGTGTGAATGCACAATGTAAGGGGTCACATGTTAACAGATGAGCCGACTGATAGGACTTGCTATCAGTGGCCTCTGGGATGTGGCTGGGGCCTTGTTTGATTCTCCTTTAGTTGTTTGGTGCAGTCAGATGCCAAGCTGACCCAGAGGGTCAGGCTCTTAGCTGGTACTGTCCAAATTCCCTTCCATTCTTCTTCAGTGTCCAGGCTCCAACTTAAAGCAGGAACCTGACTGAGATGCTTTGGATGTGCATTCCAGAAGTGCGATGACTCTGGGGTCCTAGAAGTCAGCTCTGCTGCATTAACTATTAGGAGTGAGGACAGGAGGTCAGATCTTTTATTTCCCCCATCTAAGGGCTCAGGTTTGAGAAAGGGGTCAACCTGGCTGGGAGGGAAGTCAGGAAATGAACAGGACAGGACCTTCTGGACAGCTTCTCTCCAACTCCTTAAAAGGCCTGTTGTCAGCATCAACAGTGAGCCAGGGTGGCGATGAGCCCCTAGTCCCAGAAAGAGAAATCATCATCACACATAGTCCTAGCAAGAAGGAAATGTGCATGCCTGTCACAGATGGTACAGCTCAGGCACATACACACCTGCCAGGGGTCACGTAGCCCTTAGTGGGAGTGTCTGGACAGGAGCCTGGCTTCCTGTACTTCTTGTGCAGTGCTCTTCCCATAATGCCATGCTGCTTGGAGTCCAGGGAGAGGAAACCTTTCAGTAGGGGAATCCCTCTTTTTTTTTTTTCTTTTTTTTTTATTTTTAGGGGAATCCCTCTTTTGAAAGGCTAACATGGAGTCACTCCAGTTATAGCATCACCTCTACTATTGTCCAGTTCATTCTGGGATCCCAGGATCCATGGATCCAGGGCCATTCGTTTACTGGATACTTAGAATTTCCTTGATCATTGCTCCAAGGAGCTGGATGCTCTCTCAGGAGCTGTGTCCCTCTGAGGACAAAGCTGGGTTGTATCCACCCCTCGATGTTTTGTTCTGCTGATACTAGGCCCACAGTGCAGGCGACCAGGGCATAAATGTGTTACAGACATACACACAAGTCACAGTCATAGCTTGGCCTTCTGCTGCTAGAGCAAGTGACCGAAGTCCTACTTGCTGACCTCTGTCCTTGGGCACATGGCCCTCCCAAGATCTGATGTGAACCGACCATTGGCTTTCCATAATTGCAGCTATACATATTGCAGTGTTAGTGGTCATAATGTCCTTTACAAATACGCTTCCTCCAGGGAGTCCAAAGTACAGAGCTGAATAGCCACAGTGGAGCTGCATACTCCCAGGATGTCAGTGATGCTGGAGCAAGAGCCAGGCCTTTGGGAGACTTTTCTGGATTAGAGAACCACCAAGCAAAATGTGCTCAACACTTCTCTAGCCTCTGGGCCCAACTCCCACCACATTTAGAAGCTTGTATCTGCAAGAGACTTTGAAGATCATAATTTCTATGTTTCCCTCCTCACCCATTTTTCAGATAAGGAGACTGAGGCCCAGGCAGATGAAAGTCCCTGCCCAGGGAACCTGGGCTATTGCTAGAGCCAGATCTAGACTCTACCTCCTTTGACCCTCAGTTCTGTGGTTTTTCCCATCACATCACCTAGGCGTGCCCTAAGACACGCTGTCTGGAGAATTTCCTTCCTTTTTTCCAAGAGGATTGAAGAGAGCTTGGAACGTTTTAATCCCACATCAGTTAGGATTTATTTGTCCCACAGCATCTGACAGCTTTCAGGAAGCCTGGCATGGCAGCCTAGAGCTTTGACGACGTGGGGGTCTCTGGAGCCCACTTCTGCCGTCCCGCCGATGGGGAAGGAGCCGTGCCCTCGCTGCCCTCCTTAGCCCTGCCCAGGAGGCTCCCTCTGAGCCCCGAGGCCCATGGTGACTGAGGAGGCAGGGAGGGGAGGGTGTGTGCGCTTGTGGGTGTGTAGCTGGCGTGCCGATGCACTCACATGTTGATCTCACCACTCTGAACACTTCCCATGTTGATGGCGCCACAAGCTGTCCCACACCTCACCTGATGGCGCTGGGGCATAGGAAGGACTTCTTGACCATTTGAGAGGCCAGGGTGTCCAGTGGAAGGGAGGCTGAAGTCCTAATTTCCTGCCCCTCACTGGTGAGGACCGGGGTCATTGCTGGACCCTAGGGTAACCCTGCTGGCCCTTTTGGGGATGAGCTGAACCCAGGACTGTAGCGGAGGCATTGGCTCTCTTGGTAACTCTGAGGGCACATGTTCAGACACGTTTAGGAGCAGCAAGTTATTCAGGGCCTCTGCCAAGTGGCCTCGTAACCTCAGCTGGGCAGCCGTCCCCACAGGAGCACAGTGCGTGAGGCCAGAGAGTGTAACTCTCAAGTCTACTTGGATACTTTCAGGACTCAGACTGCCAGAGAGGAGATTTCTCTATCTTTCTAGCACTTTCCTGCATCTTCTGCCTTTCTAGTACTTTCTAGATGAGAGAAAGCGTCCAGCTGTGTCTCGTTTGCACACAACAGAAGCTTTATGTGGAAGGTAGGTCAGGAATTATGAGTCTGACGCATTTTCCTGAGAGTTAGGTGCCGAGACTCCCTGTCCTGAGGTCATGGGGTCACTCAGTATAAGCTGGTTGGGGACTCTTCCCTGCTTTGCTGTTTGGGACATCACAGTTAGAGAGTTCCAGGGCTATAAGGAAATCCCTGGGCATGTGCCTGGTCTGCCAGCAGAGGGGCTTCCTCCTGGGGTGCTGACAGACCAGCTCCCTGAGGTGAGGCAGCTTCCCACCACCTCCAGGTGGCACCCCTGTGTGCCCCTGCAGGCAGGACCCAGGTCACACTCCCCTTTTCCCTTGTAAGGCCCCGTGCTTCCCTTGGCACAGACAGGTGCACAGTTAATGTCTGGTAATCAAAAGGATGGTGTCTCTGTGTGAGACCTTTCTGCCTTGGCTCACAGCCGTCTCCTGCGCGCACCACTCTGGAGGCAAAGCACCAGTCCTGCCCTCTAGGGTGAGATGGTGGATGAGCCTAGCCAGGTACCTACCAGTCCTCACTGGAAAGTGCTAGATTGTTAGTTCCTTGCAGGCAAGATCTTTGGTTCACAGCTAACCCCAGCCCCTTGGACTGTGTGGGGCTCACAGAAGGCTCTTGTTTGTTGAGTGAGTGGATGGATATGGTAGGCAGCAGGATTTAACGTGCTGAATGCTCCTTCTCTTGCACCTTCTGCCCAGCCAGCACTGGGCCAGGCACACGGGGAGTCCTCTGTGATGGACTGTGAGCAGCAGGCACTCAGGGATGGCGGAGGGTGTGGGGCATGAGGCGACACCCTGGGCTCTTCCATTTGCAGTGGAATATTCCCCTCTGGCATTTCTTACCTCTGTGGGGGCTCGGGGCCCAGCTACTTACCCAAATGGGGATAATGAGGCTTGCCGAGCAGACACAGTGATGGGGAGGAGTAATTAGCCAGTGTTTGGAAGAAGCTGCTTATGTGGGTGTGGTGAGGCCAGCTGGCAGGATGGGACTCCAGGAAGCTCTCTGGGCCCCAGCGTTCTGGCCTTGGCGCTAAGTCAGGACTGTCATGACAAAGGCAGCCATCAGGCTTGAGCCAGAGGGTCCCTGACCCTTTAAACAGAGCCATCAAGGGTCGGCTCACTGTGCCCTCCCAGGCAGCTAAACCGCAGTGGGCTGTGTATTCTGGGGGCCCAGACCTTGTCCACATACCTCCTTGCTCTCTGTCCTTCCCCCTTTCCAGGCCCAGGAGGAATTCTCACCCTATTTAAAAAGATGGGTTAAAAACACATGCTTGTGAATGCCTCAACCTAATATTGGTGCTCCCCAACCTTGACTTGTAGCTGTCTCCTGAAGAGGAGGAGAAGCGTCGGATCCGGAGGGAGAGGAACAAGCTGGCCGCGGCCAAGTGCCGGAACCGCCGCCGGGAGCTGACGGAGAAGCTGCAGTTGGTGAGGAGCACGTGGGGTGGGGGTGCTTCTGGGTGGGCTGGAGCCAGGGCCCCAGGGCTCTGTGCCCTCCCACCCACTCCATGCTCACCTGTGCCCCATGGATGAGTCAGTGGAAACAGAAACATTCCTCCCAGTGAGCACATGGCTTAGCATTGTGCTGACTAAATAGAAGGCCCTGGCCTGTGGCACCAGCCTGGCCCCAGCGAAGCCACCTTCCTGGGCTGGGCACCTCTCTGCACTCAGGGTCTGAGACTTCCCTGCTTCTGGGTCTGCGGGGATCCCACATAAGGGATGACACAGGACTTCAGTGTCTCCAGGAGCCAAGAGAGGCTCAGAACTTCCCTGCCCAGGTTCCAGCTGCCCTCATCCTGCCTCCAGCAGGGGCAGCTCTAGCTTGGCTTGAGTGCTCTGTCCTGGGCCCTGGGGAGGCTTGGCCTCTCAGCTCCTTCATGTCCACAGAGGTCTGGATCTTAGCTGTGTCCTCACAGACATAGGTCATGTGTCGGCCTAGGCTTATTTCTTGGAGTTTTCTCATGTCCTATGTGGGCAGAAGGTTCCCTGTCTGTGCCGATCCTGGAGCTGTGACGTTGGCCTGTCTATGCTGACCTGTGAGTCACACCATCATCCTGTCTAATCGTCCCGACCGGGGGGGGGGGGGGGGGGGCACAGTCTTGCCTTTCTCTCCTGAGATCTGAATCGAACCAAATGCAGTAACCCTGTCCTGGGAGTCGAGCCCTACAGGGAGGGCTGTGTGCCACGGGACGAGGTGTTTTCACAGTGAGGAGGGGATGGAGGCTGGCAGTGGTTTTTATGATGGCAGAACAGCCAGGATGAGGCTTTGGATGTTGTACCTTCTGTCGTTTTAATTAATCCTTGAAGGTTCCATCCCCTGCATAAGCGGCCCTTTGTCCATCCCAGAACCCTCACTCTGTGGTACCTGGTGAATGTTGTGTGGATTCTCTTGGAAGTGTTCACCCCAAGGGTCTAGCACTCATGGGGACACTGTCTCTCCACTCCCAGCTCTCTGGTCCGGTGCTTGGTGACTGTGCCACCAGCCTCCTCTGCCTTCCTCCCCTCCTCCCAGGAACCTCACACCCTACTCCCCCGCCTCCCCCGCTGGCCCCAGCCGCCCAGGCCCCTGAGCCACATCCTCCACAGGAAACCTCTCTGAAGCTCATGACGTTTGTTAGACCCTTGAGACAGATGGAAACTTTTTTTTTCCCCTCACTGCGAAATAAGCCATGCTCTGCTTCGTGAAGCGCCTGCCCCAAAGCTCCTTGTTCCTGAATGGGAATCGGTGCTGGGGGAAGAGCGGGGAGGAGGCTGGTGACGCACACCTCTTCCTCTGGCACACTCCTCCCTCCACGTGGTACCTGTGCTGCCTCTTGGGCTTCGAAGGGGTCTGTGGTGGTGCAGACTGTGATCCTCTCGTGCCTGCATAGCTGGCTGGCTGTTTCCTCCTGTCTAGCAAGGGGGCTGAACAGAATGTTCTTCAAGGGTCCTGTGAGTCCAGAAACTCCTTCCTCAGAAATGCAGGCCCCAGGGCGGAGCCGGGTGTGCTTGACGACCCAACAGGTGTTGACTGAGCATTGGCTCCGTGCTAGGCACTGGAGAATAGAGTTGGTGTGTGAGCAGCTCTGCACACTCATGGAGCTTTGGGAATCCACAGGGGGTCGACCAGGGGAGGAGTGGACCCACATGCTGTGTGCCCTTTTCTATTTGCATCTTCTCATTAATCATCCTCCGAGAAACATCCAAGAGCACTTTGGGGACCAGTAAAGGCAGGGTGCAGTGGAATACAGACTCTTGAGTCAGCCACTGGGGAACTCAAATCTAGACTATCCTACCTAGTTGTTCTGTGACTTTTTTGGGGGGGACAGGTACTAGACTGCTTTAAACTCTGTTTCCTTGTCTGCGAGAAGGGGATTGGATGAGATGTGTGACACCATAGCTGGGACAGTGTGCTCCTGGCAGCTTACAGTGGTTATTCACCCTGCATCCAAGCAGGCTTTCCTTTCTCAACCCTGGAAATACCAGGCCCTCCTGGTGATGCAGAGCCAGCGGGGTAGGCTGTGAACCGGGAGAGCCGACTGCTTCCTTCGCCCTCCCTGGGTCACCTGGCTGAATCCCCCTTCCTCCTGAGGCTCACCCTCACATTCTCTTTCCCCCCACAGGAGACGGAGGAGCTGGAGGAGGAGAAGTCTGGCCTGCAGAAGGAGATTGCTGAGCTACAGAAAGAGAAGGAGAAGCTGGAGTTCATGCTGGTGGCCCACGGGCCCATGTGTAAGATCAGCCCTGAGGAGCGCCGATCGCCACCTGCCTCTGGGCTGCAGCCCCTCCGTGGTGGGGTGGGTGCTGTGGTGGTGAAGCAGGAGCCCATAGAAGAGGACAGCCCCTCGTCCTCGTCGGCGGGGCTGGACAAGGCCCAGCGCTCAGTCATCAAGCCTATCAGCATTGCCGGGGGCTTCTATGGGGAGGAGCCGCTGCATACCCCTATTGTGGTGACCTCCACGCCTGCCATCACTCCAGGCACCTCGAACCTCGTCTTCACCTACCCCAGCGTCCTGGAGCAGGAGTCTCCCGCCTCGCCCTCAGAGTCCTGCTCCAAGGCTCACCGCAGAAGCAGTAGCAGTGGGGACCAGTCATCAGACTCCTTGAACTCCCCGACTCTGCTGGCCCTGTAACCCAGTGGACCACTCCTCCCAGCTCCAGAGGGGGCCTTGGCCTGGCCTCCTCCCAGGGACCAGCACCTTTCAGCACTCCAGGGCCTTGAGGGCAACAGGGGGGAACCTGCCAGAGAGCTTCCTGGCTCCAGGGAGACTCAGGCGGGATTTGGTGGTGAGGCATCGGAGGACCTTGGGATGAACCCTTGGAATTCATGGGAACTACCCCCTCATTCATCTTGCAAGCAAATCCTGTTTCTTGAAAAGCCTTGGAGAACCTGTTTTGGTAGACTCAGAAGTCTCTCTGGCTTCCGAAGAGCTGATCTGGACCATTCCTAACCCCATGTTACAGCGTTGTCTCTGGAGTGATGGTGTCCTTCCCCACCCCCACCCAGCATGCTCAGTGCCTTTTTGGTTCCACCTCCTTTCTATCAGCCCTTTCCTCCCCCTAGTTTCAATTTCACTCCTTGGTTTTTATCAGATTTTGCCATGACATTTCATCTGGGTGGTCTGAATATTAAAGCTCTTCATTCCTGGAGATGGGGCAGCAGCTGACTCTTCTGCGGGGGCTGACTTGTCCAGAGGGGACAGTCAATGTGCAATATGGAACCTTCCCTCCCCGCCCCTTACCCCACCCACTGCCTGCCTTCTCCTTCTCCGGAAGCAGCAGCATCATTCCCTGAGCTCTCACGGAGATGCCGCCATCGGCCTGGGGAGGCTTCGAGAGCATCCTTCATCCCTGTCCTCCGACACGGCTCTTGGTGGAATGTCTTGGCCAGAAGACAGGGTGTGAGTGAGACAGACAGTCAAGGTGCAGTTTTGATTTGCCAAAATGCCTAATTACTAGGCCCAGGAATAGAGCCAAGAAAGCCACATGGTGTGCGAGCCAGCTTCCCTTCACCTGGCGTCTTGTGCTGCGCTGTGTGTCTTCTGTAATTACTGCCTCACCATTTTGCGCCTGGACCCTTCGCTCCAAACCAGGCTGGCGTCCCACCCTGTGAATCACACATCACTCCAAGTCCCTGCCCTTCCCCTTCTCTGGCTCTCAGGGTGATGCCACCCAAGGAGCCTTTAATGAGCATGGGTGTAGACCCTCCTCAGATTCTGTCAGGGGGCCCCTCCCCAAGTGTTGGAGGAGCACTTGGCTGTGGATGGGAAAATGAAGAGGGAGGAGAGAGGCAGGTGTCTGGGGTGGAGTTCTTTGCAGCAGCAACCCAGCGCCTGGCTCTCCCTGACCTGCTGTTTTCTTGGTCTCAGTGATGCTGGGCCTTTCTGTCTTCTGCGGTCATCTGATACCTCACAGATGCAGGATTTTCCCTTTTCACTCCCACTTTCCCCCAGGTCTTCTGGCTCGGTTAGGGCATGTGAACAGCTGGCCCAGAGCTGTGGCTGTGACTTAATAATGACTGATGCCTGGGTTGTTGGTGTGGAACTTTTCCTGGCTGCTAAAGTATGAGCTAAAATGTGTTGCTTCCCAGGGCAGGTGAGCTGCCCGCCTCCCACAGCAGGGTGGGAGCGGAAGAGCTTCCCTGGCCTCCTGGTCTCCCATATATTGGGGGTCCTGCCTCCCCTCTGAGCCCTTTCCTCTTTGTGGGCACAGCTGCTGCTGCCCTTCTTGCCCACAGTGTTCTGGGAAGCAGCTTCTGGTCAGAATTGGCCTCTGCTCGGCTGGTGCTTTGAGGGGAGACTCTGCTATTGGTGTTTGGGCACTAGAGGTGATTGTATGATAATTTAAAACTATATATGTATTATTTAAATCAAACCCAGTGAGGATTAAATTATGAAATCAGCCTCTGGGGTGAGCAGTGAGAGCCTCATGTGGCCGCCCCTCTTACCCAGGAAGCCTCTGGGTGGTCATTAGTTAACGTGTGCTGCCATCCACCACACACTGAGCACAGACAGGACAGCCTGGGGACTTAATCACACGTCCTGGGACGTGGAAGGAAAGATCCTGCAGAGAGGGGAGACTTTGCAGAAGGGTTTTGTTCAAAATGTTTCGAATATATTCCTCACATGCTCGGCAGTGGTGCTGCTCCCCCGGCCCCCCAGCGGCTCTGGAAAAGGTGAATGGAATTAACCCACTGGGTGTCTGGCTTGAGATTCCTAAAAGATGCAGGATTAGCCAGGGGTAATGGGTGCCCTCAGCTTTGAAAGGCTTCATCATCTCAAGTAACATTTGTATTCAAGTGGGAGCTATTCGTGTCTCTGTGCATATATACATATATATATATTTCTTAAATGAAGCTGCTTCTGGTCTTTTTATTTCTGACAGCCTCTTTAAGACTCCTATTTTGTATGATACTGAAGCTAAGGTTGGTGATGCTCTGTGACTTGGGCCCAGGATGGACTTCCCTGAGACAGTCTGGCTTCAGGTCAGGTCTCAAACTGTGTTGGCTTTGGGACCAGCAGAAGGCAAAACATGGTCAACTCCCCGGCCGTCTGAGGGCCTCTGTGCTGTGTTCCTACTTGACACACTCTGGCTTTGATCTGGGAGGGGTTTCTCAAGAGAGGGTAAGATTCAAATCTGTTGTTCATAGGGTTGTGAAGTGTTGTAGTCGACTTGATGACATATAACTAATACAACAGATGTTATTTAGTGAGTGAATTGACACCGAGTCATGAGCATACCCTCAGCATATTCCTTCTGTTGAACTCTCCCAGCTCATACACATCTGCATTCTTGTTCTATACTCAGTAGCCGCCAGGCCTGCTGCTGCCGCCTCTGCGGCTCCATTGAAGGGAGTGCAAGAGCTTAGGTTGAGACTGCTTTGCTTCTCCCATGCCCCCAGCCTCCTCAGGGCAGCTGGTGTGGACTGCTGTTGAGCTTCAGGCAGCACCGGGCAGGGTTTCCCTGATAGGCTGGTGAGGAATGCAGTCTCCTTGGCCGTGAGTGGCTCATCTCTGAGCTGAGTGGAAAGGGGCAGCTGCTGACAAATGAAGGAGAGATCCCGGGTGAAGTTCTGGAAATTGTTGGAGCCAACTCCAAGTAGAGAGTTCACTGGGAAAGATTTGCAGAAAAAGTCAAACATTCTACTCATACAGGAGACCAAGTGTGTCCATTGTGCTCCTCACATGAGTATCTTGAAGCCAAGAGCCATCAGAGTCAGCTCCTCCTCCTAGGCTTTGGGGAAAAGAGTCTTCTCTCTGCTCCCACTGGGCTACAAGTGGAAAGTGGATTGGAGTCTCTGGAGCATTGGGACCTTTTTCTCCTTTTCTTGATGGACCAATCGGCCACCAGCAGTCTCACCATTTACTTTTTAGATTTGTTTACTTCCCTGATCAGGTATCTACATTGCCCCTTGAGGAAGGGAAAAGCACCTGCTTATGTGCCAGGCACTGTGTTAGGCACTTTTATATGTGTGTATATACCTTCCTTGCGAAGAGACTAAGGGACAAAGGCACGCTTTCATGAAAGACACCCAAGTAATTGAGGGGCAGCTACAAAAACACTTGAGAAAGGCCTCCTCGCCACCACTCTCTTCTCTGAGGCAGGACAGCCTTCAGTCTGAGCTGCTCAAAGATCCATCCCCGACAACACCTTCCCACTCCCCAGACTCCTTCCACCTGCCCCTTCTCCCCTGTGCTGGGCTCCCTCCTTTGTCCTCAGCAAGTGGTGAGAGGGGTAACAGTCCTTGTAGAATCCATGGACCAAGTGGCTATGTGGTGTGTAGAATTTTCCTTCTGGAAATTGAAGAAGAGGGGTCTTAACTACTTTCTGCTTTTTGTTGTCTTTTTGAGCATCTTAAAAGCCAGCATCTCACTATTTATTGACAGATTGGGGTGTGCGTGTGTGTGTGTCTGTGTGCGCACGTGCGTGCATGTACATTTCTAGATGTTTCTGTGCCCTGTATCTTTTTAAAAGGAAACCCAGCCATCCTTCTCCTAATTTGACATCTCCTGCTTCCAGCATGTGGTCATCCATCAATAAAAGGCTCTGATTGTCCAATGCTGACATGTTCAGGAGGGCTGGGTCAGACAGGGAGGGCCGTGGGAAGGGTGAGGGAGAAGAAATGGACATTTATTTTATTATTTATTTTAAATGTTTACATCTTCTTTGTGTTATACCAAGCCTGAATAGAACCAGATAGCATTAAAATACACAGTTCTTCACTCCGCCGCCGCCTTTCTTTGTGTTTTGTTGTGTGTGTGCTTGTGTGGTTTTTTTTTTTAAATTTTCAGCTAAGGATGCTTTTTTGGGGGGTTTCTACAGTGATTTGTGACTTGTGCTGTACAAACTGTATAAAAAGGTTCTGTTTTTAAAGATGGATTGTCATTCTCTTGGGGACAGTGGTCATCAAGGAGTCCACCTGGTGAGAGGACACAGCAGAAGACCCTGTCCTATTCCTCCAAAAATTATTTTCCTCTGTATGATTAAAAGTTTACCCCATTTATTTTAGTTTGTGGTTACTTGATGTTGAAGAAGAAAATACTCGATCTTGTATAGAGACTAGGTATCAAGGTGTTATTTTCTGTGGTGGGAGATATGTGTATATAGTACTTTGGTATATAGTGGAAAATCATATGCCGTGTGTATCTGTATCTGAGGTTATGTCAGTGATGTGGGCTGAAGTCTGCTATAAGACCCTGGAGGCAAGCAAGTTGTACAAGATTCATATAGCTCCATGGGAAATTGAGTTACTTTTCTGAGCACCTTTTAATTTTTTTGAAAAAATTATGAAATGATCCTACTGGAGAAGCTGCTACATCAGTCTCTCCAAGCAGGTCCATGAGCTCAGATACCTTTGTATAGTTTTGAAACTTGAGGAGTTCTCTCTGCTCAGAAAGCGCTCTGGTGGTATTTTGTTGTTGTTGATGATGATTTTGTTCTATTACTGTACTACAAGCCTACAGTATTTGCACTAAAGAAAGCTTGTTAGAAAAAGATTGCTGCTATGGAAGAAAGAATCTTTTAAAACTACCCCCCCCAACTGCCTTTTTTTTGTGGTTTGTTTTTTGTCTTTTTTTTCCCTTGCTTTTTATGGTGAGCTTTTCCACTTTTCAATTGAGTAGTATTTTGTAGAATAAAATGGATTAAGATTGAAGAGCCTCCAATGGTTGGTTTATTCCGTCTTTTTTTCCACTTCTCCTGTCGCTTCTCTCTTCCCTCTCTCCCCCTCCACCCTCGGCCCTCATGGTTCAAGTCCGTGTCTCTGGCAGGGCTGAGGAGGGAATGGCTCTCCCAGAAGCTTTTTTCCTGGGAAAACGAGTGTACAGCTGGAAGGACCAGCATCCTCGCCTTTTGCCATGTTTCTCCCTCTGTCCCTTCTCCCGATTCCTCGCTATTTGTTGCCCAGTTCCCAGGGCCAAATTCTCAGTCATTTGCCTGTCATTGTCAAAGTGCCAGCTGGTAAAAGCTTACATTGCTGTCCCTTCCTGGTAAGTGGGTGTTATGCGAACAAGTTAACACTGGAACCCCGGAAGTCTTCCAGAACTAAGTAAGATGCATCATTGTAGTTGCTGTAGGTTCCTGGATGGTACAAATAGCTTGTGCTTAACCATGAACCTAAAAACTGGGTGTTTGATCCCACTTACTGCTT